TTATTTGTATTTAATTTAATTTACTCTCTGCATTATTGACCTGTATGGGTTCTGTACTTTGGTACAAAGTTCTGGTTTGATCCGTTTCAATTAGACCCGCCTCTCATTTCATAGGTTTATTTAGCCAACAATGTGGTGCCACCTGATTGTATTTACCTGCTCATTTTAAGCATTGTCGCTCAGGCTTTACTAACTTTTTCCCAAACAAAAGTTTACAAAAAGATATATTATATGTATGTGTTTTTTCACAACACAATGAACTCATGAAGACTCTGCACAGCAACAGATAAAAAATATCATTGTGGGGGCAAAGAACTGTATACAGATTCTACCTTTGCTATGTCTCTAATACTGCATGTGTAAAAGAATACATGGATTTATACTTATCCTTCAAGCCCTGTTTCCTGCTTGCTTTTTCTCTCAAAGCTTCAAAAAAGAACAAAAGAAAAGCAGAGAGCAAAGACAGCTTGAACTGCAGGAAACAAATCCATGTACTGTAAATACTCTATGACTAAGTGCAGAGCTGAGTAAGAGTCGTGCTGACCTTTGCCACAGCCAGGCCTCCTGACCCCCCTCCAATAACCAGCAGGTCGTAGTCATAAAGCCCCAGGGACGGCCCGGCCGGCGGGTCCATGATTCACCGCTGCAAGTCCAGACGCTGAGATCCTTCCTCTGCTTCTACCTTGTCTTCCTCTACCCTGCCTCTGTCCTACAAGCGCAGACACACAAACAGCCTCAGTGAGGAAGGACTTTGGCCCCTGGGCTCTAAATAAAGGAATTATCTTATCTGATCTTCTGACTGCAGGCTAGAGGCGGGTTGCACTGGATGCATCAATTGGCACATTACAGTTGCTTAAATTGCTAAACAAAGAGAAATTATAAGAGAAATAGAAAATAAGGAGTATGTAAGAATGTGTGCATTATACCAGTTATTCCCAACCTTTTTTCTTAAGGGACAACTCGACTTAGTGACATATTTTATGGATATTTCATATTATATTCAATGCATTACAGTAACAGTAAAGCAAAACTGATATTGATAAACCCAAACAATGAAAGAAATAACTGCAGGCATTTTGTGTAAAATGTGAGTGAAGGCTCTGTGAATAACAATAATATGCTTGTGTTCAGGCCTTCAAAGTTTAGATCTTACATAATACTTAAACTTAAATACCTAAACTATTTAGTTTAGTTTTCTTCCGAGAAATTATTAAAATGCTGAGACACAGGCTGTAATAAAACATATAAAAATATGTATAGTACAATAAATAAGAGCAGTGTAATAAATAATAATAATAATGCTGAGAATCTATGAATAAGTGTGATATGCAGTACTTAAATAAGTCATTTTGTATGTAAATAAGTCTGCAAGAAAGCCTTATTACTCAGAAAGGACCCTGTATTAGTTTAACGGTAACAGGGCGACACCTTGTGGTGAAACCCTGAATATCAAGCTGCTTTTATGTCCACTAAACAGCTGCCTTATGGAGTCTCGGTAAACAGGTTTGTAAACACCCTCTACCACTGAAAGCACTGCAAATAAATATAATAAACTATCTGAAACCCATAGATGCAATACAATTGCCAATAAACTGTGACTGTTGGCAGGAAAAGCTGTTCAGGATAACACAGCCTACCTTAGTTTTGTATGTAAGTACTGCAAGTATGACCTAGGTGACATGTTAGCATTTCTCTGAACAGTGTTCTACACATTACTCGCTTCATTGACCTTAAGAGGCTCTTTATATACCTAAACAGGCTGTCTGCTGGTATGTGGTCCTTAGGTACTTCAGGGGCCTGAAGTGTTTCTGTTTCTACCGAAACATTTGTGGAAAACAACTTGAACAGCTCTCTTGAAAGGAAAGCAGAGGGAAAGTGAATCATTTGCGGGAAACCTGTTAGGCTACAAGAGATGAGTTCCAGTGCTGCTATAAATGTAGGAGTCATTGTCACGCTCTGCGACTATAACCAAACGACGTTAGTCTGAAACCGCCTGGTGTGTATTTCCCCCTCATTAATTCGTGTCAGAATGCACAGAATGTGCTTATCCTTTATTATTGAACTAGTGGAGCTACATGCGCATTTGAAAAGACTTAAAATCATCTACCACGGCCAATAGACCACACAATTTCACAGTTCACTGCTGAATTTACTTTAAACCTGTGAAGTAGGAGCTTGCGTGGCGTCCCTGAACGCAGCACGGCCCTCTGCCGGCCAGAGGCGGTAGTGCAGCTGCGGCTCCGCGCTGGGACTGGTCCTTTCGCAGCCATTTTCTGTCCAACCAAACAGCCGTCTCAGGAAGGTAACCAACCAGGGCTTCATTGCAGGTTTGTGCCTGGCTCCGGCCAATGATTGCTAACCGATTTCTCGTTAGCTCGAATGGAAATGTCCGTCTCTGTCTGATTTTTTATTTGTTGTCTGAGTGAATGAGGGCTGCTCATCAGGAAGTATCCAGCGGGCGAAACTTTAAAAATGACTATTTAACATTTCGGCCCCGGCCACGTCTTGCTCTGCTCTGTTCGACAAAGAACAGGCCGACGCAGTGTCTGCAGGCGCGAGTTGCAGTGGATTTACAATGAGAATGTATTCAAGGGACACTATGTACCTGAATAGGTTAACTACAGAAGGTAAAAGCCCGCTGGACAGCCTCTCTTCATTAACCTGAAGTCAGTAGTTTAATGAGACCAGCGAACTAGCAAGCTAGCTCAACTTGTGTGTTAACGTTAGCTAACGCTAGCTTAATATCTCACATACCCGCGAATGATAGCCGCTAGTTAGCATACGATAGCTAAACACAGATCAACGCATTTAGCATGTGGCTAATGTAAACTGACCTCACCGCGGGCTTACAGCTGGCTAAGTAACACGGTTTTCCGTTAAGTTACTGTGCTAACCACACTAGCTCACGGTCTCTAGTGCAATACCAAATTCAAAATTTCTCCTCTCGACGTAGCCAGCAAACACATTATATCATTTCAACTGCGGGTAAAACAAAGGGAGGGGGGGCATATTTTGGCACCCTTCGGTTTCCACCTCTGAAAATATGTCCGTCCTCTAAAAGAGGCTGCACAGCTAGGCTAGCTGGTATTTTTTAAAATGGAAACATATAAAAACTAATGACCTGACTGCAACATCTGGCACAGAGCCGCTTTATCAGTCCGTGAGCTAATGCAGTGGCTCCAACCTTTTCCTTAAGGGACCCTTTTCTATTACTGAGTAAACTAAGTGACATATTTTATGGATATTTCATATTAAATTTAATGCACAACGGTAACAGTAAAGCAAAACTGATACACTATAACTGACGAACACAGTAACTGCAGGAATTTAGTGTAAAACAAGCGATATGGACGAGGGTTGAGCAGAGTATTTCCTGTGAATGTTACAGCAGAGATGAGTTTCCCTGATATTATATATTATTAGTTTTCAGATCACAGACTGAAGGCTTTGTATAATAATAATAATAAGCTTGTCATCAGGTCTTCAAAGTTTAGATCTTAAATAATAACCTAAATGTAAAAAAATAACAGAACCACTGAGCTAATTAATAGAAACGTCAGCTGTAAGCTAGTTCCTTACATGAACAGAGACAAAGAAAACACACTTGGTTCATTTTTAACAATTTAGTTAACTTGAAATTGACAGTTTTAGAGTATAACCTACAGCCGCTTGTGGACGTATACAACGAATTAACATTTTTGCTACGGATGTGGTGTGGAAATAATGCTCTAAAAAACACCCAGAAGTCCTTCTGGTGTTACACCGAAATCAGTGACCGAAATTTAAAGTGGTCCGTCCAGCAAAGGATAAACGGCCTGCGTTATAAGCAGTGACGTGTAAGACTGCTCTAACATATGTAGCTCACAGAAACATGGCGCATCACTTGCAATCACTTCATGGAGCAAGGATCATTATGCGATTAGCCATGGAAGAGGTGCAGATTTTCAGTCAGTACAGAGAGAATACCCAGAGACGGGGAGACAACTACAGAATTCTGCATTTTGAGTAGTATTCCTTATTCCATTCACTGATGAAAATTGGAATAACTAGCCATCCGATGGAAAAACAATTCAGGTCGCAGAACAATACTGAATAATATGCATCAGAGAGGGAACACTCTGTATACCCTAGGGTAAGACTATCAGGGCAGGTCACAGGTTTCCGTATAACACCCGTATTAATTTATGGCTATCATGATCACTACTAAAATGGTCATGGGAATGAAACATGTTGCACCTTTTGTATAAATAATTGATTTACCAAAGACAAATTCAGTGGAAACCTTATGCTTCTTTTCTGTGTTTGTAGTAGCTGAAGAACATTATTGATCAAGGCTGCATGATCAGGCAAATTTTGAGTAATTTTTAATAAGAACAAATGTCCAAATTCTCTGATTTCAGTTTCTTTGCTTTCTTTAGTCCTCTATGACAGTAAACTGAAGATCTTTGGGTTGTGGACAAAAGACGAGACATTTGAGGACGTCACCCTGGGCTTTGGGAAATGGTGATCAATATTTTTTTTTTTTTTTTACAATTTTCTGACATTTTATGGACCAAACAACCGATTGATTAATCAGTAATGACAACAATTATAAGTTGTAGCCCTAGATTGGAGTTTTCCCAGCTGGCAATGAAGAAAATACTGCTGTAACAATAAGCTCTAGCACTGCACGTATTCTACCTTTAATTTCTAGCATTGATCAGCAACTCAACAGCTGCCATTAGATCATTGCTCAGAGCACAGATAAGTGAAGTGAATCCACTAATGGATGACGCACACATACTGTATATATATGATCAGTTCAGGGTTTATTTTGATATTGCTGCTATGTGAGCAGACATACCCAGAACATGAGAGCAAAAGCCAAAGCTTCTCTTTAATTTTCACGGTAGCCAGAGCAGGTTTACATCTAATGTTGAAGGTCAACTGTTTGCTTCTAAAATGAATACAGTAACTCAGACATTTAGGTTTATTGTTATAGCTTGAGACTTTCAACGAGACGGTGTGTGTTTGTGTTGCAGATGGACGGAGACAGTTCGACCACCGACGCCTCCCAGCTGGGCATCACCGGAGAATACATGGCATCCGGTCACTACGTCCTCCAGTCTCAAGACGGTGAGTAGGACAGCCATCAGTGTCATGTTTCAGCCCAGGTCACAAAGAGCTGATCCTGTTCCGTTTGTCTTACTGCAGACGATGCCGATGAGAGTCTGAATGACCATGACGACGGCGGCATCAAGGAGAACTTCAGGGAGCAGGACATCTATCTTCCTATCGCCAACGTGGCTCGCATCATGAAGAACGCCGTTCCTCAGACTGGAAAGGTTAGCGAGGGAGAGGAGGGTGCCGGAATATTGTCATCAATGACATCACAGCTCGGTTATGGCGCTACGAATGATAAGTCCGATGACGTCCCTGTTCTCTGCAGATTGCAAAGGATGCCAAGGAGTGCGTGCAGGAGTGCGTGAGTGAGTTCATCAGCTTCATCACGTCGGAGGCGAGCGAGCGCTGCCACCAGGAGAAGAGGAAGACCATCAACGGCGAGGACATCCTGTTCGCCATGTCCACGCTGGGCTTCGACATGTACGTGGAGCCGTTGAAGCTTTACCTGCAGAAGTTCCGAGAGGTGAGACACAAAACTGATTACTTAAAATATAATCAATTAAATAATAACTAATTAGCCTGTTACGTTTATTTACATAACCTCAAATTGACCTTTCTGTCATGTTTGTACTGCGGTTTAACGCTCGGGTAAAAACACCTTTTCATTAGAGCAGGTTTAGATGAGGTATTGATTCCAGTCCCCCAGTGTTGGTCAAGTCTGGTCCAAAATTCTAAATGTAAACAGCTGCATGATTACATAATGCAGTACAAAGGTTTTACCAAATAAACAATAATCATAACCAGCCCATGTAGTCTGTCTGCCCACTAACTTTTCCATTCAGCCTGCTGAGATTTAAAGCAGCCCAGCTGGGTGTAAGACTGGCAGCACACAGAGCATGCAGCAGCTGGAGCATGTTCAGTGAGAATAGCAGTAGAGTCACAGCTTAAAATATATTTGTTCACTTTATTACTTATTAACATTGGCTCCGATTCATACACACAAGAGCAGAGGTTACAATGATGAGTGTCTGCTGCATTACTGCAGAGATTTCAGGTCGGGTTCCCAAATATTCTAGAATTGCTCAGTTTTTGAATGTAAAGGCACAATCACAAAGAGACACACCGCTAGAAACTAATCGCCTGGAAAACCTGTGACATGCGGTGCCTGCCGTGTGTTCCTGTCTTGTGCCACGGTTCTTAGATGCACATAAAAGTTTGAATGATGCCCCAATGGCACTAAATCAAACGGCACTCTCTGCTAGCTTTTAGCGTTTGGTTTTTATTCATCCCCTGCACTAAAATGTTCACCCTGGCAGCCTAAGTATGATACAGCACAACCTCTTGTTGTTTTTTGAAGTTCTCACTGCTTGGGAGGCCTAAAATGAGAGACACTGGGGCCATCTCCACCTCCAAAGCAATATTTTTTCTGTCTGAAAAAGCACAGTGGATAAATTCCTATACCAAAACTGGTTTCTATTGCAACCCGATCTGTTCTGGATTTCAGTGTCTCTGTGTAGCATAGCTGATTTCAGGGTTTCTACATGTGACTGCAAAGACCTGAGCTCACATTTGTGACGTTTTCTGCATGTATGGTGTTTTTTTTTTTTCAGGCCATGAAGGGGGAGAAGGGGATCCCAGGGGTGTCAGTGGGAGAAGGCCTCGGAGACGAGCTTACAGACGACAGCTTCTGTAAGTAGCCTTTTTAACATTTATTTGTTCCCAATCTGCTATTTATATTTCAGTTCAGTCTCATAAAAGTCAGCTTTTCTCCCCTCATCAGCAAATCCACTGCCGGCTGGGATCATTACAGCAGATGGTCAGCAGCAGAACGTCATGGTGTACACCACCTCATATCAACAGGTAAGCTACCCACCGAGGCAGCAGCAGCTCACCGGTTCCATTTATAGCCATCTCTAACGAAACTCCCTCGCTCTGTTGCAGATTCCCACTGTACAACAGATCCAGTTTTCATGACGAGGCCTTTACCCCCCCCGAGCCTGAACACAGCGGCTCCTTACCAGGCCCCACGCTCGCCGGGTGACCTCTGACCCCGCCCCAGGGTAAAGGTTATCAGACGGGACAGGGAGGAGGGGGAGAGGCGTCTGCAGAAACCCTCATGTACAGAGAAATCACTACCTGTTGAGTAGAAAGTGTAGTTTCTAGTTGTGAGGTACCAAATGTTTTGGAGCGAAATCCAAACCAGCTGGGAAATTGAGGCTTTATTTTAAAGGCTAGTCTTATCACATTATTTAGTGGTCGAAATTCTTTTTCGTGCGTGTGTGTGTGTGTTAATGTGTTTGCTTTTATGCGTTTTCTTCTTTTCGGGGGCGGGGGGAATAAGGGGAAGTGTTGTATTGGACGCTTATTTTTGAACGCCTTCTCTGTTTGAACCGAGAGAAGCCACGTTGATACTGTCACATCAGATCATGCAGCTCTTTTGTAAGTTCACACAATCTACCATGTGCTTTAATGTTATGTAAATCCTTTGAATAAAAATTCAAAAGCCATGATTTAAATTTCACAGTTTTTATTTAGTTTGCATAATTTCACATTGAGCAAAGCTTAAACTCCAGATCAAACGAAAAATCACCTTTAACAATGTATACAAAGGCATCTTTGGATTACAATATAAAATCCAATAATGTTTTCTTCCTGTAAAACACAATGTGGTGTGTGCTTACATAAGTGTGATCCAACCAATTTAAACCAATATTATCATAACATCCACCCATCAATCAATCAATCTTCAGCTTTTAGCAATACAGAGTCAACTTAATTAGTTAGCCAGCTAGCAACAGCATGGCTCTCTGTACACAAACACAACTTTATCACTTGGACAAAAACACATCTTTATTAGTGATTTTTGTGAAACTGGATCATATTTTAAGGAGAATATATTTAGGGACTGAGCCAGCGACCGCTGGAGGTCCCTATTGAAATTGCTCGATTTCTTACCTATTATTATTTTACCTTCGACTGTGTTTTTGCCCCGCCTAGAACATATAACGAAAAGCTCAATTTTATTTGGCAAAGGTTGTCAGGTCTGGTGACAAGATTGAATACTTACTATAGGGTCCGCTTCCGGGCCTGCCACTAGGGTGGCGCTACTATGAGAAAAAGTATTTTGACTATGTTTTGGTACTTAATAAACTTCTGCATAGTTTGATCGCCACGAGTCAAAAACACATATATCACATCGGTGTGTGTCATGGCAACAAAACCACATAATTAAAAGTATTTTGATATTTCAAAAAAATAAAGCACGTTATAAAATAGAAAGCACTTCCTGTAAATTTTCAGTCAAAAAAGGAAGTGGAACAATTTCTCCACAGTGGTATGTCTGATCTGCAACAAGCTTAGGGTCCATAAGTTCCCCCCATATCTTCCTTAGGCATTGTGCAAAATTTCAGGCGCATTGCCACAGGGGGCGCTCTTTTAAATGAACAAGTTTTATCTGCAGTCGGCACGTGTGATTAAAACGAAACTTACAAAGATGATTGCTCATGGCTTCCCTGAGGCTCACCTAAAAAGGAAAAAAATGACGCCACTGGGTGGCGCTCTGGTTGCATGAAAAATCACTGTGGCGGCACCGTAATAGTTATGAATATGAAATTCACCAGGGCACGTGTAGACTGGTGCCCTGTAGCTCACATACCAAAAATCGGGTTTGTTGGTTTTGTAGCGCCCCCGTACAGTATTTGTTAAAAAGCAGCCGCGCCACGTTTCACTGATATGATGAAACTTGGTAGGCACATGTAAAAAATAAGCCTCTTTGGTGGCTGATTAATAAGTTGTGCTATTTGTGCATGTACGTTGAAGGGCGTGTCCGTGGCGTGCCGTCAAAGTTCAGCCATTTTGAATTCCGTGCTCATTTTCGGTGAATTTTTTCGCCTTCTATTTGAAACGAACTCCTCCCTAAGGAATTTATCGGATCTGCTTCACAATTGGTCAGTACAGTCAAAAAATGTGCTGACTAGGAAAGTTGTAGCAATATTTGTGCACATGTACGTATTAAACGGGCCATGTCCGTGGGCGGTGGGTATCAGAAGTGCAGCCATTTTGACGCCCTTTTCTGTCATTTTTCTGTGATTTTCGTGTTGTATTTGAAACCGAACTCCTCCCCGCCTAGGGAATTTATCGATCTGCTTCAAAATTGGTCCCAGTAAGAGATAGGAACATGTTGCTGATGTAACAAGTTGTGCTAATTTGTGTCCTACGTTGAAGGGCGTGTCCGTGGCCGTGCCGTCCAAATTGCCCAGGTTGATCGAATCTCCAAATGGGATCCAATTTCCGGCATTTAGGGCTTCTGTTTTAAGCATCTAACAGATTTTTATCAGTTGACTTCAAAATCTCGATCCACCCTGACCTCCTAGACAACATTGGTGATCTAAATAAGTTGTGCTTTTGTGACTGTACGTTTAACCGTGTGCCCCAGTGACGCCACGTGTCGATTCCCGCCCGGATTGGCCATAAAACAGATACGTACTCCCTAATCTTCAGTGTAACAATCCCCCACCCCCTGAATCAACGTCAATCACAACTATGCAGTGTACATGGTCCCAATCCTCCCATAATGAAACAGTTTGATAACAGTCCCGCGCCCTGAAAGCACGTCTACATGAACAATATTCAGATATAAGTGATAGCGCCACTATGCTGGCAAAGCAGGAAGTAAGCGCTGCGTGGCTACTTCAGAGCTGACTTTACGTGAAAATTTCATGTTGTGGTCCGCACGTGTAACGATGGCACGTGACGTGGCCGCAGCTAAAAGTTGCTTAAAGTAGCCAACTGCCAGTAATGGTAATGTTAGCTGCATTTAGCTAGTTAGCTTGTGAAGCTCAAGTTAGCTGACTCAGCTCCAGGGTGCCAGGAGCCAACCTCTACTGTATTCCCTCTTTTAAAACTGTCCTTCATAGGCATCAGATGCTGCATTCTGTCCCAGTCTTGCCATGGTGCTCATTGGGAGCTCCCAGTCCAGCAGAGTCTGCTAATGGGACCACTACAGCTGCATGGCAGGGGGACGTAACATTTAGTGCTAGTGCAGGAAATGGACAATAAGTGGAAGCAAATAGCACTGTTATCCGTTTCATGTGGAAGGAAGGAATATTTTAATTTAATGTGTAAATTATACTTATATACTATATTATACTATAGAAAGGACATGTACATGCACATTATTGTTCCTTTATTTGTATAGATATTAAAACATGTCTGGAAGGGGTCTTTAAGCTGTAGCTTTCCTCTCTGATGTCTGTAACTATACACATTCAGGCCGTCAGCTTCGTCCTGTATTCATCCATGTAAGGCTGAACGGTCTTCCAGACCTGAAAGCAGAAAGGACACACCAACAATAAAGTCATCATATTGAGACATCCTTACACCACTCCAGAATAACTCCAGGTTCATTTGGGGCTGACTTGCCTTTTGCTGTTTGATGAGTGTGTGAGCAGCTTCTATGTCAGGACTCATGATGCGGTCTCTGTCCCAAGGACTGGAGAGACAAGGATTGGTAAGGACATTAAAAAAGAATACATTAAAGGCACAATTTACAGATGTACTTATTTGACAAAGTGCAGTGAATGTTGAGTATGTGCATAAAGATGTGCATTGCTTTATTATATACAGTAAAACTGATGAATATAAATAAATAAATAATTAAATATGATTTGACCGGTCTTGTATTGATTATCTTGAAGCTATTACAAAACTAAACCGACAATACACCAATACAGACTTTCCTTCATATCCTGTTTTGCCAGTATCGATTGTATTGATGTACAGTGTGGTTTTAATGTCTTAAATTTAACGTGGATTGTGGATTGTTTTGACACAATTTATGGGTAACATGTTGAGAACATGGACGATATTATAAGATCTTAGTCATTGCACTGATGCTGGATTGTAAACAGATGAAGTCTTTGGAACTGATGGACAGTAGCACTGTCTCAGAAAACCGATTATCCTGATTAACTGTTGATGTTGCTGTTAAGAAAATTTCGTTCTGAGGTGTGTCTGACCTGACCACGGAGCGCAGCAGCTCGTAGACCTTCTCCAGAGGAGTGGTGGTCTTTAGAGGACGCAGGAACTCCAGAGCCTGGCAGGCAGCCAGCAGCTCTATGGCCAGCACTGCGAGACAGAGACCCGGGTTATTAACGTGCGACTAGAGGCACACACTGGTTATGTGTGGGTATTAGCGGCGTGTCACCTTGCTCCACATGCTCCACTACTCTCAGGGCTTTGCGAGCAGCCCAGCCGCCCATGGACACATGGTCCTCTGTTGCTGCACTGGTGGACAGGGAGTCAACGGAGGATGGGTGGCACAGAGCCTTACTCTCTGACACTGTAGAAAGAGGTAGTTGGGACAGTTAGAGCACACTGCAGGGTAGGGTTCAGAGCTACCACTCAACAATGGTGTACAGTAAGCTTTTCCACTATATTTACCATTGTTCCCGTCCACCACTAGAAATATGTTATCAACTATTGGATGGATTGCCGAGAAATGACAGGAATCACCTCGCTGTGCCTAATTTCAGCCTCACTGAGCCGCTGGCATGGCTGTAGTGAGTGCTCCATGGGAATTTTTACCTATAGCTTGTATCTTTAACTTAGTCTTAAATAAGGACCCATCTACTCCTATCGAGGGTAACTTCTACGATACTACTGAGGAATGCGCTAGAATTCCAGAACAGCGTAGGTTTTACAGTAGCTCACAGGCAACAAGTCTTTAAAGAAACACAGACGATACTTCTAAGAAGTAACAAATTATATAAATAAGTAAATATAAACAAGCAAAATCAATCAATATTCCATATTTCTATATGTTCTCAAAATATGTAAATAATCACGCTCATGTCTGTTTATCTTTATTTTTGAAAACTTTTCTAGCGCTGATCTCACTTATTTGTCAAATGCTTTTACTTACAAAATCTCACGTTCCAACATGATGGGCTTTCACATTCTTGTGAGACAATTGATTCCCAAGCACAATCTATATGGCAAGTCAAAAATGCAAACATCACCACAACAAAATATAAGCGTATAAAAAAAATATATAATAAATACAAGATGCTTTAAAACTACAGGAATGGTAAACTTTTAAAAATAACTTGAAAATTATTGTTTCGTTCTTATTTTTTACTTATAATGCACATTGTTAGTAACATCGATTAAATAATTCTGTGTCACGCAAAGCCACAGCGATTACTCTTGCGCATCCATCCTATATCGCCTTCATCAATGAGACAATTTTCAAGAAAGACTCCACCTGGCTTCAAGACAGAAAACAACCAATACCAATCAGAACCAAATGAAAGATAGTTGCTTCTTTAGTTTATGTTCCTTTCCTGTGTTTATCAAATCTACGACTGGTTTCGATATCTGTCATTGTACAAAGTCGCGAATGTTTAGTAACTACGAATCGAGCTCCTTCACTACAGCTCGGTGGGACGTGTATTATCACAACATCTCGCAAGTAATTAACAATGCAATTAACTGCTTCAAGATAAGTCGCACCCTCCATAACCCTCTTTCTAAAACAGCTGCGCTCAGAAATCATATCTCTTATCTCTT